TTTCACTGTCAGTATTGAATATTTTAATGTGATTATTTTTTGCTTGACTTCGCTAAATCAGATCAGTTCTATAATTTACATCACTGCATTACTTATTTATATGGCGAGGCGTGCTCATGATTCCCGTATCAGATGATGAATGTAGATGACAGCTAGTATGAGCTAATTTTATAGTCAATCAACTACACCGATAATCAGTCTAATGGTGTTTTTATACAAAAGCAGCACAGCAGTAGTTTTCTTTCACGCCTCTGATTGTTATCATAATTTCAGATGTTTCCTATCGCAGTTTTCATTTATTTTGAGGGCTCAATTTGTTAGTAATTTTTCGAGGATTAAAGAGATAACCTCAAAATTTTGATCGAACTTGAGATTCACTGTGCATTTTTAGGTGGATATTTGTCTTCAACGAATATTGCGCCGTTGGGAACCGATGAGCGGCAACTTTTACAGTTTATCGAGGCGTATACAGCCGAAACAATTACGATTGAGCCGATTCTAAAGCCGTTTCTGCTGGATTACATACCAGCCGTTGGGGATATCGACGCATTCATTAAGATACCTCGACCTGATGAGGTTAATTGTGCACATTTGCAATATGTTAACTGATTGTGAACACTGCCGTCTTCAATTGAGTTACAAATATTGAGCTACCTCCACTTAGATCGTGTCGAGTTAAGTCAATCGGTCCTCGAGTTGCGATACTTCGTTCTCCATAAAAAGTTTTTCAAAACCTTCCTCCGTACAACTTCAGAAAGCTGTGCTCATCGCAAAAAAAGCTAACAATAGTTGAGGTCAAGTAAAAACGTGAGAATTGCATTTCAACGGCTCATCAGTTGATTTATTGAGACGGTTCCTTCTTACAGAGCCAGTCTGTTCTCCGCTTAACTCGGACTCTTTCATAACGAAGCAGAACCGTTTCATAGATGACCAGAAAATTTCAGATTTTAATGAATTTGGTATATCTCATCACTTATTCGGACATAATCAACAACATAGTAGTACTCAACGGTGTATATAAAACAGATCAAAGCATCTGAAAAAGCCTAATAATGGTTTATAAGTACTCTGGATAAAGTATTCCTGTTTCAGGTAGAAGATAATTTGGGTCTGACTGTTCTCGATGAGCCATCGGCCAAACAGAGTGATCCAACAATCCTGGGAATGCAACTGAGGAATGATGCTAAAGACGTGATAACAACGGATGCACCGGTCAAGAAACTCGATCGTGCTGACAAAAACACTCGTGAAATTGAACAATGGGTCACCAATATTAAGGTGATACCTGCGAATAATGAATTTTTCACCAACAAACTTGTTAAATTTCATATCAAAATCATAGCTTTCATTCTTGACATGAGAGATATTAGAAAAATGATATTGCTCACTAATTTTAAATAATTTTGATAATTTTGATAACAAAGTAGATAATTTTGGTCTAATTATGCTTATGCATTTGATCCGACTTGCTCACTGCTCATGACAAAAGTACAATCGTTGACTAATCAACATGAGCTGCCGTTTTGCTGCTAGTCGTGAGTCCCTATCATCATTGTTGAAACAGCATCTCAGTTGTCAAGATTCCTGCTTAAAATGATAGCGAATAGGTTAAGAGGCTTTATCATGCTCTATGTAACATGCAAAAATTGATGAAGCATCAAGAACAAAAACATTTTGAATGTTTTGAATGACTGAAAAACTTAAGAACTCCGTTGAGATCAATTAAGTTCTACCCTTCCAATCTTGCGACTCTGAAAAGTTGATAGAAGAGACTTAGGCAGGCAGTTTCATATCTGACTGTGGCTAACTGGAGGAAGCTAAGAAAAAAGATCTCTGTGTATTCTTTATTGAAGATAATTTGT